CTGTCAAATATAAATGATTTAACTTCAATTAAATATCTACTCGTGCCACAATTATCCCTTCCACATTTTACAACTTCCTTTATTGGACTGAATGATTCAAATTTAGCCCTAGTTAACAGTGATTTAAAGTTTTTAGGTTGTCTTATTGACGGGATAAATGTTTGTGTATCAATCAGTTTTTTTAATTTTTTATCTTGTTGAAGAAGTGGAAAATGTGTTTTAATTACGCTGGAAAAATTAGGATTGTGAGGATTAAAGGTGGTGAAAAATGCAATTATATTGTGATTTGTATCTTTTATCTTTACCTGCCTTTATTCCGTTATCGGTATTTTACTAGCCCTTTGAATTCCGTCATTAATTAATGTATTGGGATATTTGCGGGCTAGCAGAAATTCTCTAAATTCCCGTAGTCTTTTAAATTTAGTTACTGTGTTAGACACGATGGTACAGATACGCCTGGCCAAATTATATGGTACAGCCGTTTTTATGTGTTTAGGGTGACACGAATTGAATTCGAGATACTGTTTAGTATCAGTATCTTTATAATATATATCAGATTCAATAATATCCCCGTTTTTGATTACCATTATGTCTAAAAATGGTATTCTATCTGTACTAGTTTCCATTGTAAATTGGATATTCGGATGAATATTATTGATTATGTTATAAAATAAAAGGAGATTATCAAATGATTGGAGCCAGATGAAGAAACAATCATCTAAGTATCGTTGCCACTGTTTTTCGAAATATATTCTGGTCTCCAAGTCAAATGTTTCTTCTACTTTCGTAGCAATGGTTAATTCTAAATATCCCACGTACTAAAATTGCCAGCGAGGGTGAGACTTTACTACCCATTGCACAGCCAATAAGTTGTTTATAATAGTTAGAATCAAAATAAAAGCAGTTGTTTTCTAATATAAAGTCGATGCTTTCTAATATAAATGACTCCGAAAAACTTTCTTCTCTATCGTTTGGATATTAAGATAACCAATGCTTTACAGCTGTTAATCCTAAAACATGTGGTATATTAGAATAAAGGTTTGTAACATCGAAAGTAACTAGAATAGCGTTTTGTGGGACATTCTGGGGTAAGTTATTCAAAAAATCTACGCTATCTCTAGTATAACTTTTGACATGTTTAATATAAAGTTGAAGTATGATGTCTATCAAATTGCTTAAACGATGAGTTTCACATGCTGGACCTGCTATAATTGATCGGAGTTTTAAATCTTGAGGATGATTCACTTCAATATATGTCGAATTTTGGTTTACACATGCTGTGTGTATTTCTTTACATTTGTGAATCTTGGGTAAACCATAAATATTGCTGGTTTTCACATTAAACTCTTGTAAGTATTTGATTTCTTTCTCCGTTAAACAGGAACTATGTGTCCATATCAGTCGACTTAGTGCGGTCATATTTCTGGATAGTGACGGAGAGTTTAATTTTTGATAGTAGTTGGTATCGTTCAATATGTCTAATACCATTCTTTTATAGTTCTCCGATTCCAAAATGACTGTTGCACCACCTTTATCTGCTTGTTTTATCACTATGGATTCATCTTTTGATAGAGGTAGTATATATATATATATATATATATATATATATATATATGAGTACGTCTTGAATTGCATACCCCTAAACGCAACCCCCGCTCTTCCTCAGACCCACGTCTTCATGCAAACTTAAGTCCACCTTGTAATCGTTCATTGTATTTACAACTCCTCTACCTCTACCTTGGAAGAAATTACCACTAGATATTAGAACATGTACCTCAATGCCTACTTTCAAGATTTTTTTGGGAAAAGGGGCATAACTCAGCAAGGAAAGTCGCGGAACATTAAATATCGATAGGGTTCATCCTCTCATGACCCCAGTGATTTACTGTAAACGTTGTAGATGTTATATTTGGTGTTTATTTTGTATTCGATGTTTTGTCATATGAGTACGTCTTTATTTTACATTAATTTATTTTTTGCTTGTTTTGTTTTTGTTTTTGTTTTTGTTATTCCCTTTTGGTTATGTATATTTTAGTTTTGTAGAGGCGCTATTTGAATTTGTCATAAGATAATATTATAAATAATAATCTGCTTATTTTCTTTCTTTGTTCGTCAGTGTCTTAATATGTTTTAAAAAATGTATCTCATGTTTTTTAATTGATTCTAGATTCACTCTTTAAAAACGTCGTTTCTAGATAATGTTTAATAATGCCAAAGGCACCTACGTGCAAGCGAAGTATTGAAATAAACTTGAACCATATTATTGAGTCCCGAAATCAATTAGTTTGTGTCGAAGGACGTTAAACTCGCTCTCAGTCTCTCTCTCTCTCTCATGATGTAACGGTTCCTTTTATAGATATTTTACTACTCGTGTTGATTTATTTTGGGATTCACTGTAAACAAGTTATTTATAGATTGTGTTTTATGATTAATGTATCTTATTTGTACCTTGTGTTAAGTTATTTATAGATCATGTTTTATATTCAATGTATCTTAATTGTACCTTGTGTTAAGTTATTTATAGATCATGTTTTATATTCAATGTATCTTAATTGTACCTTGTGTTAAGTTATTTATGGATTGTGTTTTATGATTTACTAGCAGGATACCCGGCTTCGCTCGGGGGTCATAACTCCGAAACCGGAAGTGGTAGAATAACGCCACCTGGCCTATGTTACTCCCCGGTCCGAGCTAACCCTATACATCAAATTTCAGACTCGGGGCAGACCTAGTGTAGCCGCCAACCCCGAACAGACAGACAGACAAACGACAGTCACAAATATATATATCTACTAGCAGAATACCCGGCTTCGCTCGGGGGTCATAACTCCGAAACCGGAAGTGGTAGACTAACGCCACCTGGCCTATGCTACTCCCCGGTCCGAGCTACCCCTATACCCCAAATTTCAGACTCGGGGCAGACCTAGTGTAGCCGCCAACCCCGAACAGACCGGCTTCGCTCGGGGGTCACAAATATATATATAGATAGATGTATCTTATTTGTACCTTGTGTTAAGTTATTTATAGATCATGTTTTATGTTTAATGTTTCTTAATTGTACCTTGTGTTAAATTATTTATATATTGTGTTTTATGTTCTATGCATTACAGATAATAAAGAATGTTTTATGTAATTGCTGACTTGTTTCTCAAACTTACGAATTACGAGTATCGGCCAGACCAAGGGGAAACCACGCCGAAAAAAATCCTAATGAACTTTCTCGGCCAATGCAGGGATCGAACGCGTGACCTCCAGGCTAGCGAGCCAGCGTCTTAGACACCGTGGCTCCGAACCGTTCGATGTTCCCCATGTCATTGGTATTTAGTGTGTTCAGTCGTTCAGGTGTGACAATAACCCACAATCACACGTGTTGACACTCGAATGTCCCTCAATAGAACACTTCACAGCTGTAATTCAGTTATGAGTGGGGGGGGGACGACGCTACCCGGGCACAATTCTCCTCCAATCTTGAATTGGGCATAGAGAATGACCGTGACTTGAAGTTAGACCATCCACCCCTCGCCCGTGCATACGCTACACAGTGTGCTTTGAGGGAAAGTTTGCCCGGATAGCCGAACTACGGCCTCCTCTTTTTTCGATTTCCAAATGTCATGGATTATTTTACGTGCGTGCCAATGTGTACACGGGACCTTGGCTTTACGTCCAATCCGAACGACTACATGTTGTCCATTGCCAGACACCTACACTACTGATCTGAGGAAACCACGCCTAAAAATCCCGATGAACATTCTCGAACAACACCCGGATCGGATCCCGGGATCTTCAGGTAAGCAAGCCAACCTCACACCCACCGAGCTACCTTTTAAATGATGTGGTAACACAAGGGTAGTAAAATTATATTAAATAAAGAGTTACATAAAACACAATAGTAGTAAAATTATATTAAATAAAGGGTTACATAAAACACAATGGTAATAAAATTATATTAAATAAAGAGTTACATAAAACACAATAGTAGTAAAATTATATTAAATAAAGGGTTACATAAAACACAATAGTAGTAAAATTATATTAAATAAAGGGTTACATAAAACACAATGGTAGTAAGATTATATTAAATAAAGGGTTAACACAATGGTAGTAAAATTATATTAAATAAAGAGTTACATAAAACACAATAGTAGTAAAATTATATTAAATAAAGGGTTACATAAAACACAATAGTAGTAAAATTATATTAAATGAAAGGTTACACACAACACAATGGTAGTAAGATTATATTAAATAAAGGGTTAACACAATGGTAGTAAAATTATATTAAATGAAGGGTTACACACAACACAATGGTAGTAAGATTATATTCTTTTCGGTGATCTATGTATTTAAGGCCTTGTGAGACGGTTACCATTAATACCCCATTACCTCATGTACTAGTCATTTAATCTGCGATATCAAATCATCTGAGATTAGGGGGGTTGGATGGCTGAATGGTTAGCGTGCGCGCGCTGTATCATAAAGTCTGTCATTGAGTCGACTGGTGTGGTTTCGAATCCCCGGTTGTACGTGACAAGGAGTAGGGTCGCCTGTCCAACCTCGTGGGTTTTCTCCGGGTCCTCCGGTTTCCTCCCACTGCTAAAGACCCCTACGCGCAAGCGAATTATTGAAATAAAATTAAAACCATATGTTAGTCCCGAAAAGACCTAGTTTGTGTCGAGTGGACGTTAAACCCCATTTCTCTCTCTCTCTCATCTGAGATTAATACGCATAACATTGTCATTATTAACAGAGAGAGAGAGAGAGAGAGAGATTTATTTCAATAATTCGCTTGCGCGTAGGAGTCTTTAGCAGTGGGAGGAAATCGGACGACCCGGAGAAAACCCACGAGGTTGGACAGGCGACCCTACTCCTTGTCACATACAACCGGGGAATCGAAGCACCATAATTAACTTCACTGTTAGTGTGTTAATGGGTAGTGGTTGTGTCTGGGTAATGTTGACTATGGTATATTGATTGTGTCTGGGTAATATTGACTATGGTATATTGCACCACGAGTAGGAAACTCATGTCTATTTATAGATTACTATAGGCGTGTATATATATATAAACGGCTATCAGTATACAACACGCTATAGACACCAGGTGTACCGACAGGTATAGACAACAGGTATACCGACAGGTAAGTTAAATGTTCAATATCAAACACTAATAAGGTACATCAAAACCGTCGACTACGCCAGGTGTCATGGCATCCACTAGACAACCGATATCAATAATACACGACGATAATAATAATAACAATAGTCGCTGTAAAATGAAATGGATCAAACACTTGTTTTGAGTGTGTTCAGTCGTTCAGGTGTGACAATAACTCACAATCACAAATGTTGACACTCGAATGCTCCGAATAGAACACTTCAGCTATGAGGGGGTCACAGTGTCCACGTGGATAAGACGCTGGGTCGCCTACCTGGAGGTCGGGTGTTCGATCCCAGCATCGGCCGAGAAAGTTCATTCAGATTTTCCGGCGTGCTTCCCACTTGTCAGTGATGGAGGGCCTGACAAGGACAGCTGTCTAGTCGTTCGGATGGAACGAAAAACTGAGGTCCCGTGTATACATTGGAATGCACGTAAAAGATCCCTTGGCAGTTGGAATTCGATATAAGAGTAGGCGATAGTGCCGCTGCCTGGGCAAAATTTCCCTCATAGCACACTGTATGGCGTATGCCCGTCTTCATTAGCCCAGTTCGAAGCAGAACAGAAGGACGTTAAACCCCATTTCATTTCATTTTCATTTCGTAATTCAGTTTTGAGAAGGGGAACATGACGCTGCCCTGGCAAAATTCTCCTCCAATATTGACTTTGGCACAGAGAATAACCGTGACTTGATGTTTTCTGTTTGTACATTGTCGGACTTGGAAAAACCCCACGAAGATGGACATGCGATCCTACTTCTTGACACGTAAAATTTGGGAATCGAAAACACTCCAGTTGACTCAATGACAGACCTTGTGATAGAACGCGCACGCTTAATTTATACAATATGCTAGCTTTCACACAGTTCCCCTCCCCCACTGCTAATTATTGAAATAAAACTGAAACATATGTTAGTCCCGAAATGGCCTGGTTTTGGTCGAATGGACGTTAAACCCCATCTATCTCGTGATACAGAGAAATATTATGACACATGTAACAATCAATTGGGTTTTTTTTTCAGATCTTGAACCGCTATCTAAACTCAGGTAGAATCCAATATTATAATTTCCACGGTAACAATTATCAATATGTCTGAACAACAAGAAGAGGAAGTGAGGTCAATAAAAGAAGAGTTTAAAGGGAGATGTCGAGTTGTTGAGAAAGGAAGTGACGTATTTAGTAGAAGTGTTACCATACAGCCAAAAGATATGGATTTAACCATCAAGTTCCAGTTACCAAGTAAGTTGGCGTTCCATCATATAAATATCTCTTTATTCTCCATATCGAATCACTTTATCTGTATCGTGCACGAGACAGAGTTGTCGATCCGTGACAAATTCAAACCTAGATTTGGCGAGTTTTCACGGGAAATTCATTAACTGGCTATTTGCTTGAATGTGAAATGAAATGAAATGGAGTTTAACGTCGTACTGTTCTGCTCCGACTGGGCTAATGAAGACGGGCATATGCCAGACAGTGTGCTATGAGGGAAATTTTGCCCGGACAGCGGCACTACGGCCTACTCTTAAATCGAATTCCAACTGTCAACGGATATTTTACGTGCAGGCTAATGTGTACACGGGATCTCGGTTTTTCGTCCCATCCGAACAACTAGACAGCTGTTAAAACATCCAAGAGTTAACTTAAGTCCTTAAACCCATCCTTTGTATTTACACGCATATCAAATATATTTATTGTAACTGCTGATTGATAGGCGAGCTAGTGTACTGGCCACTGAATCTCTGTGGTACACGGTGGGGGTGGGGGGGCTATTGGCTTAACTCAGTGGTTCTCAACCTTTTCTTGCCAACGGCACACTGGAACACATGAAAAAATAGCGGCACACCTGGCTAAATTTTGCAAAATAAAAACATGGTAAGTCAGACGGCATACAACCGTAGACAGAAACTAGTCAGACACATAGAAGGACTCAAACTAAGTAAAGAAAAACACAGCTATGAACTTATTAGTAGACACCAGTGAATACTCAATTGGGATCACGGGGTTTTTCGCATTTTCTTGGTGTGCCGTTCAAAATTTCGCGGCACACTTAGGAAGATCTCGCGGCACACCTGACTCCCGCGGCACACTGGTTGAGAATCACTGGCTTAACGAGTGCACGTGAAATCGTAAGGTCTGTGATTAAGTCAAGTGGCGTGGTCCTCCGGTTTCCTCCCACTGCTAAAGACCCCTACACGCAAGCAAATTATTAAAATAAAATTAAACCATAATATGTTAGTCCAGAAATGACCCAGTTTGTGACGAGTGGACGTTAAACCCCATCTTTCTCTAAAAAGATTTTGAGATGGGTGTGCAAACGAAATCAAACATTCATGATGTTTATTTTTATTTAATTACAGCTTCATACCCAAAAGCGGCTCCTAAGATATCTATTCGTGCTGAATGCATGGAGGAGGAAGATGTCCTTGAACTTCAAGAATTATTACAATCCAGGACCAATGGATGCTTGAATAAACCAATGATGAAAAGCCTTACAAATGAAGCCGAAACGTGGTTAAAAGCAAACGGTCTGGGGAAATCTAAAAAATCGGCCAAGGGCAACAAACACAAGAAAAAACAAAAAAAGCCGAGGGAGGATAAAGTAACCATCGAGAAATTAGCCTCTATGAAAACAGCTGATGACGTAGTTAAACGGATTCAATGGGATTCTGATTTACCCCAGGAAGATTTTCTAGTTGGTTATCTCGATCGGTTTCTGGGAATAAAGGAGAAATATTTCACAGCCTTTTCGTGGGAGGATATCGCTTCCGTGGATTATAATGTTCTAGCTATACCCAAACATCGCATACAATATTTCAAATATAAGGATATCAAAGTGTGGGATAAACTGGCGAGATTGGATAATGTGTTCGGTTCTGTCGGTAGCGGAACAAAAATAACAGATATCATCGCAAACTATGATCAGGAATTAGAAAAGTCTAAAGCAGAGAATGCTACCGAAATCCCCAGCACGGACAATAATGAGCAAGTAGAGGATGATGACAATGATAGTGATTCTGATAGTGACGATGGCATAATAGTAACCATAGGAACAAACACAACGAATCCTATGACGTCACATCCTGGATACTGGCAAGATAAGTTGCGCCCTAATTACTTCCTGGCTATTCGTGTAAACGATTCAGCTGTGCAAGAAGCCACGAGCGAAATACAAGATAATATTGTAGCAAATCAGCCTCTGTATCGAGAATGTTGCATTCCGCCTTCTGCTTTACACGTGACATTATGTACATTAGGACTGGACACACAAGAACAAGTAGACTCGGCTTGTAGGGTTTTAAAGTCAATACGTGACGAGTTAAAGGATGCGGTGCCTACACAACCCCTTGTTTTAAATGGGGTTTCCAATTTCTACAGTCGTGTCGTGTATGCAAAGATCGAATATCCGAACGGATTTCTAGATTTCGTCGATCAATTATCAATGTGTTTACGACACGAAGGTATAGAAATTAGAGACCAACACGAATTCATCCCTCATATGACGATCATGAAGACATCTCGCCCTGTATCAAGACGAATGGGTACGGCTAACATCGATAAAAGACTTTATGAACAATTTACCGATAAATATCTCGGGGAGGTTGATATTTCTGGTATTTATTTATGTTCAATGGGCGACGAGAGACAATCAGATGGTTTTTATATCTCACCAGCTAATATTCAATTCTAATATCAGTGTCTTCAATCTGATTAAAATACAGATCTATATTTCGTTTCGTTTTTTTTATACTTTCGATGGCCTCTACTACATGAAGATCTGACAAGTTATAGCGATAGGTCACGTCAGGGGTCAAAAGACCTACTTATGACCAATGACGTCAGACATTTGATTAACCAATCAGCATTGATGTTACTAGTAGATTACCCACAGTTCCGTGCATGACACGCCTTAAGCTCGCCGTAACAGATAGTTTCATTGGCTTATCCTTCACTTCAACCAGAACGTCAGTAATATAACAACTCTTCCAGATCCTAGTGTAGTAAAGACAAGTAAAACGAAATTTTGAACTATAAAAACGAAACGAAATAGGATCAGTGTTTTAACCAGATTGCAGTGTCTTATTATTACATTTAATATAATACTAGTCTTATTACCATCAATAAAATCTATTATTTATTTTAACATTTTGTTCTTTGGTACTAAAACATAATGGGAGCCTCGGTGGCTAAGTGGGTAAGACACTGGCTCACTAGTGTGGATGTCGGGTGTTCGATCCCTGTATTGGACAAGAAAGTTCAGCGTGATTTTCAGACATGGTTTCTCCTTGTCAGTGGTGCAGCAAGCAGATCCTGACAAGGACAGTTGTCTAGCCGTTCGGATGGGTGGTGGCGTGCACTTAAAAGATCCCCTTGGCAGTTAGAATTCGATATAAGAGTAGGCCATAGTGCCCGGGCAACATTTCCCTCATAGCACACTGTATGGCGTATGCCCGTCTTCATTAGCCCAGTCAATAAAATACTTTTAAACCAAAAATTCAAGTGGGCGCACAAACTCAGACCCATGATGCAAAGCGCGTCACTGCTCTTCCCTACTCACTGCTGTCCGGGCAAAATGCACCTCGTATCAAACTGCATGGCGTACGCTCATCTTGATTATCCCGGTTGGTGCAGACAAGTAGGACGTTAAACCCAATTTAAAGGAGCTAAATCGCTAATATTTTGGACCTACAAATTGAGACCAAATATCATTTAAAACTCTGAGACCAATATCATTTAAATGCGACGAAGTATCATTTAAATGAGACCAAGTATCATTTAAAACTCTGAGACCAAATCAATATGCTGAATATGAAGAGAACAATATAAATGTCATCGAGGAACGAAAGGTTTATCTGCTGACAATTGGAGAATATCGATTCGTCTGATGAGCTGCATGTACTGTAATGGAATCAAAACAAAATAAATTGTAAATATTTTATTAAAGCATAACGTATTATGTGAAAGATGAATAACGTGGCGTATCTATTGATAATAAAATTTATCACCCAATAATACATTCTACAGTAGATATCGCTTGTGTGATATATTTCATGATCTACTCCGATATCTCCTTACATAAATTTGATTGCTCAGTTGAAAAGAAACTACTTTTTTTTATTTTCAAAGAACAGTTCATTTCTTATTTAAAGTAACTTTTTTTTAATTAAAAATGAACTATTGTTATTCAGTTGACCTTGATGGAAACTCTGGGTCGATATAAAGGACTTTGCAATGGTTGAATTGCTGTCAAAATTGATGTATCACTACGCCGTAATGTTCAGTAAAAGTGAAATCTACAGCAAAGAATTATATTTATCTATTTGTGCATGTAAGAAGGGATTGGGTGATAAATAAAATCTCCTACTTGTCTTTTTTGATATAAAAAAATATCAACACTCGTTGATAAAGTAAAAAAAAAACCTCGGTAGAGGCTCGTTTTTTTTTACTTTATCAACTTGTGTTGATACTTTTTGATATCAAAAAACACTGATAGGAGATTCTCTATTTATCGCACAGAAACACATTCTACAGTAGATATCGCTTATGTGATAAATTTCATAATCTACTGAGCGATATCTCGTTAGGCGATATCGCTTTATATAAATTTGATTGGTCAATTAAAAAGGAACTACTTTTTTGATCCAGTAAAATTGCTGAAGAAAAGATCTCGATTACCATAAACATTTACAATACTCCTTATAAACGTCCAAGAATTATAGACAGTGACACTGATTAGTTTGTTTATTCAATCAAGGAAACACCGGGTCAATATATAGGACTTTGAAACGCGTGACTTGTTGTCAAAAAATGATGCATCACTACGCCGTAATGTAATCAGGTTCAGTAAAATTTAATCTATACCAAAGAGTTATATTTATTTATTAATGCGCGTAAGAAAGGATTGGGTGTTAAATAAAATCTCCCACTCGTCAAAAAATATCAATACTCGTCTATAAAGTTAAAAAATAAACTTGGCGAAGCGTCGTTTGTTTACGTTATCGACTTGTCAAAAACAGACGAAGAGAGAGAGAGAGAGAGAGAGAGAGAGAGAAGGGGTTTAACATCCACTTGACGCAAATCATGTCATTTCGGGACCAACATACGGGTCTACTTTATTTCAATAATTCGCTTGTGCGTAGGGGTCTTTAGCAGTGGGAGGAAACCGGAAGACACGGAGAAAACCAAAGAGGTTGGACAGGCGACCCTACGCCTTGCCACGTACAACCGGGGAATCGAAACCACGCCAGTTAACTCAATGACAGACTTTATAATACAGCGTGCACACGCTAACCATTCGCCCCCCCCCCCCCATATAATAACAAATGTGGTTAGAATGGGCATAAAAACAGACTATGAAAATACAAACAGAAGCATAGATATTATAAAATACGAAATCCAAATATCGTATTACTGTTTACATATGACAATCTTACATCAAATATCAAACACTGTGGACTTTTCACAAATTGAGGGGAGGGTACTGTCACACCCTGCATCGTTAAAAGCCAGACCGTGTAAAATTAAACATTCTCCGACATTACTGGGGTTTCCAGGTGACCATGCGCCAGATATAATAGGCGATCCATCACTCCATTTCCACACCCCATCTACATCCAAATCATTACCACCAATCCAGTATGGGATCTCTAGTAAAATAAAACATTTGATTACTTTCAATTAAAAAACAATAATCGATCCTAGCCGGTGATCAAATAGAGGGTTTAACGTCCACTCAACACAAATTCAATCTGATTAAAACACAGATCCTATTTTGTTTCGTTTTTAATAGTTTAAAATTTCGATATACTTGTATTTACTACAAAAGGATCTTTACTACACTAGGATCTGGAAGAGTTGTTATTATTGACGTGTTCTGAATGGTGTGAGGGCTTTGCCAATGAAGCGATCTGTTACGGCGATTTTTTTAGCGTGGGGTGCACGGAACTGTGGGTAACTCACTACAAACATCAACGCAGATCGGTTAATCAAGTTTCTGACCTCTGACGCGACATCCTATTTTACTTGTACAGAGGGTTCGAAAATATTTTAAAATCCAAGTCACAATTGAAATGGTTTACGTTAGGCTTTTCAAATCATTAAGTTGAATTTTTCCAATTTTTTAAATTAGGTGTGTTAAGATGAAATTTGTATCATCAATTAATTGAAATGCTTAAAATAGTACAATTTGTTGACAAGAATAAAGATTGGGACATATTATTCAGTTACAACAAGAGTGGTATTGAGCCTTTAATACAATTTTACTTTTAACTAATTGACTTATTTTACTTATGAATAATTTACTTATAACTAAGTGACATAACTTTTTTTACTTATAACTAATTAATTTATAACTTATAACTAATTAAGTTATAACTAACTGACTTATTTACTTGTAACTAGGTGATATGTTCCTGGGTGACTACTAACTCGGTGACTTATGACTTGCTTACTTGTTTTAAAACACCATAAAAAGTCCAGTTACTTTACAATAAAAAGTCAAAAATCTTCACCATGTTTTTGTATCTTCTGACATTCGATTTGATTGCCCTTTAAGACCGATGGTATTCTGTTTTCTTCTAAATGTTGTTATCTATTTTAATATTTGTTTAACGCCGTGTTCTAATTCTAAACTTACCTTTCACTGTAACATCTACATATATAGAATTAACAGTCACTGATCCCAGTCCAGGATTTACCATACTTAGTATGTAACATGAGTTGTTTTGGTAGTTGAACAATCTACATCCCGGTATAGAAGAGCAGAGACGTCCACATTCAATTCTCGAAACAGCTTCATGTGATAGACTATAATCCATAAGCACATTATTATCAAGCTTGTACTTCTTGTACGTGTAATGAGTGGTACTACTACTCGTGCTGGACGAGATAGTTGGTCTGGGGGTAGTAGTGGTTGGGCCGGGAGTAGAGGATCCCGGAGTGGTAGTGCTGCTAAGCTTAGCAGTGGTGGGACCGGGGGTAGTGGGTGTAGGAGTGGCAGTGCTGTTGATGGAAATCGAGGTAACGGATCCCGTAGTACTGCTTGTGGGAACGGGTGTAGTAGATTCGGGAGTGGAAGTGCTATCAGTTGGACCAGGGGTAGTAGATCCGACAGTGATAGTACTGCTGGTTGGTCCGGGGAAAGTGGATACGGCAGTGGTAGTACTGCTGGCTGGACCGGGTGTAGTGGACCCGGGAGTGGTAGTGATGTCAGTTGGACCGCGGGTAGTGGATCCGACAGTGGTAGTACTGCTGGTTGGGTCGGGGGTAGTGGTTCCGGGAGTGGTAGTACTGCTGGCTGGACCGGGTGTAGTGGATCCGGGAGTGGTAGTGATGTCAGTTGGACCGGGGGTAGTGGATCCGACAGTGGTAGTACTGCTGGTTGGGTCGGGGGTAGTGGTTCCGGGAGTGGTAGTACTGCTGGCTGGACCGGGGGTAGTGGGTCTGGGGGTAGTAGTGGTTGGGCCGGGAGTAGAGGATCCCGGAGTGGTAGTGCTGCTAAGCTTAGCAGTGGTGGGACCGGGGGTAGTGGGTGTAGGAGTGGCAGTGCTGTTGATGGAAATCGAGGTAACGGATCCCGTAGTACTGCTTGTGGGAACGGGTGTAGTAGATTCGGGAGTGGAAGTGCTATCAGTTGGACCAGGGGTAGTAGATCCGACAGTGATAGTACTGCTGGTTGGTCCGGGGAAAGTGGATACGGCAGTGGTAGTACTGCTGGCTGGACCGGGTGTAGTGGACCCGGGAGTGGTAGTGATGTCAGTTGGACCGCGGGTAGTGGATCCGACAGTGGTAGTACTGCTGGTTGGGTCGGGGGTAGTGGTTCCGGGAGTGGTAGTACTGCTGGCTGGACCGGGTGTAGTGGATCTGGGAGTGGTAGTGATGTCAGTTGGACCGGGGGTAGTGGATCCGACAGTGGTAGTACTGCTGGTTGGGTCGGGGGTAGTGGTTCCGGGAGTGGTAGTACTGCTGGCTGGACCGGGGGTAGTGGATTCGCGAGTGTTAGTACTGCTGGTGGTGTCTAGGTTACTGATGATAATACCCATAAACACATAAAACGGATTAATGAGTAGTTTGATCATTTTGTTGTTCAAATTACTAAAGCGTTAATCTTGCTTAAAATTCTCCCAATTCACTCAATTAACAAGA